CTTATATAGAACATAAAGCTTATATAGAACATAAAGCTTATATAGAACATAAAGCTCATATAGAACATAAAGCTTATATAGAACATAAAGCTTATATAGAACATAAAGCTCATACAGAACATAAAGCTCATACAGAACATAGAGCTCATATAGAACATAGAGCTTATACAGAACATAAAGCTCATACAGAACATAAAGCTCATATAGAACAAAGAGCTTATATAGAACATAAAGCTCATACAGAACATAAAGCTCATATAGAACATAGAGCTCATATAGAACATAAAGCTCATACAGAACCTAAAGCTCATATAGAACATACAGCTCATATAGAACATAAAGCTCATACAGAACCTAAAGCTCATATAGAACGTGAAGCTTATATAGAACATAAAGCTCATACAGAACACAAAACTCATACAGAACATAAAGCTCATATAGAACATAAAGCTTATACAGAACATAAAGCTCATATAGAACATAGAGCTTATACATAACATAAAGCTCATACAGAACATAAAGCTCATATAGAACATAAAGCTTATATAGAACATAAAGCTTATATAGAACATAAAGCTTATATAGAACATAAAGCTCATATAGAACATAAAGCTTATATAGAACATAAAGCTTATATAGAACATAAAGCTCATACAGAACATAAAGCTCATACAGAACATAGAGCTCATATAGAACATAGAGCTTATACAGAACATAAAGCTCATACAGAACATAAAGCTCATATAGAACATAGAGCTTATATAGAACATAAAGCTCATACAGAACATAAAGCTCATATAGAACATAGAGCTTATACAGAACATAAAGCTCATACAGAACATAAAGCTCATATAGAACATAGAGCTTATATAGAACATAAAGCTCATACAGAACATAAAGCTCATATAGAACATAGAGCTTATATAGAACGTAAAGCTCATATAGAACATAGAGCTTATACAGAACATAAAGCTCATACAGAACCTAAAGCTCATATAGAACATAGAGCTTATATAGAACGTAAAGCTCATATAGAACATAGAGCTTATACAGAACATAAAGCTCATACAGAACCTAAAGCTCATATAGAACATAAAGCTTATATAGAACATAAAGCTCATACAGAATCTAAAGCTCATACAGAACATAAAGCTCATATAGAAC